AAAGAGGGGTGGCAACTTCTAAAGAAGGAGGAGTCGCAATAATACCTGTGTTGTTTTTTTCTGATCTCTGCGTTGAGGGAGGGAGAGAGGGAGAGAGGGAGAGAGGGAGGGAGGGAGAGAGGGAGGGAGGGAGAGAGGGAGGGAGGGAGAGAGGGAGGGAGGGAGAGAGGGAGGGAGGGAGAGAGGGAGGGAGGGAGGAGGGAGGAGGAGAGAGGGAGGGAGAGAGAGAGGAGGAGAGAGAGAGGAGGGAGAGAGAGGAGGGAGAGAGAGAGGAGAGAGAGAGAGAGAGAGAGAGAGAGAGAGAGAGAGAGAGAGAGAGAGAGAGAGACAGAGAGAGGAGAGAGAGGAGAGAGGAGGAGAGAGAGAGAGAGAGAGAGAGAGAGAGAGAGAGAGAGAGAGAGAGAGAGAGAGAGAGAGAGAGAGAGAGAGAGAGAAATACAAAAAAACAAAGACACGGACGTAATATCTATGAAGTGTTCAGCTCTCCCTGGTATGTCCACAAATAAACTCGACACGAAAGTAAGAGTCAGATTTCCACATTACGAGAAATAATTAGTTAAGAAATAAAAGAGTTATCGGACAAGATCTCAAAGGATGTGTGAGATAATGCTGGAGCTTATCATATGAAGATAATTCAGTTTAGGATTACAATGAAGTATTAGAGAGAGAGAGAGAGAGAGAGAGAGAGAGAGAGAGAGTGAGAGTGAGAGAGAGAGAGAGAGAGAGAGAGAGAGAGAGAGAGAGAGAGAGAGAGAGAGAGAGAGAGAGAAATACAAAAAAAACAAAGACACGGACGTAATATCTATGAAGTGTTCAGCTCTCCCTGGTATTATTTTCAAAAGTTAATGATGAAGCTAATCCAGGTTTTATTAGTTCAGTTGTTATTTTCAAGAAAAGAAAAAAAATATATTTCTAAAATTATGAATTTCATTCATGAAATTAAGTTTCATTACTCATGGACCTTCATGTTGCAAACTAAACCCAGAATCACGCAACGAAAAGAACAAGACTTTCTCGGATGAAATTGGCCTTGATATTTCTTTTTAATGTTTCCTTAAGCTTTCTCGGATGAAATTGGCCTTGATATTTCTTTTTAATGTTTTCCCCTTTTGAATAGAAAGAAGGGGGAGGGGGAGAAGAAAAAAATCCTTAAAACAACGTCTTACATGGGCGAATCTGGAACGTGAGGCAGAAGTACTTCCACGGCTGTCTCCACACGCTCCACCACAGCTTCCACGTAAAGACTCATCTCTGCAACGGAAACGGACGCACAGTTAGCTCATGGAGAAGGAATCGGACGCAGCCGCAGTTAACCTGGGATGGTTAATCGACAGTTTTTAATGATAATGATAAAAACAAGTTGATAATTAGAAAAAATTGTAACATATAACAATGATAACATTACTTCTATTATTGGCTAGATGATGTACCAGTAACCAATACCAATAGTGATAATAACGAACGAAAAAAAGAAAGAGAGTGAATAACAACAGTTACAACAACATTATAGTAATTCCACAAATACATAATAATAATAGTGATAACAATGATAATAATAATAATAATAATAATAATGATAATGTCAATAATAACAATAATAATAATGATAATAATAACAATAATAACGACAATGATAATGATAATAATGACATTAATAATAATAATACAGAAATAATGATAATAATAATAATGATAACTAGAAAAGCACTCAGAGAGTGCAGACCTCCGCCAAGGTGCGTATATAATATATATACTTTGGCTGCGTCCAGACGGTAATTCGGAATGTCACCAAAATTTAATCAGTTCTAAGTTAGTCCCTTTCTGACTTGTCCACAAAATTTCGATGAAATCCGGCCAGCACTTTTTGAGCTACGCTGCTAACAAACAAACAAACCAATAAACCAACAAATCAACGCCGTCAAAAACATAACCTCCTTGGCGGAGGTAACAAAAACAATAAAATGGGAGATGGTGAAATGTGGCACACGTTTACCGTAGATTTGTGCACTTTATTGATTAATTAATGATAATAATAATAATAATAACCAGACGGTAATTCGGAATGTCACCAAAATTTAATCAGTTCTAAGTTAGTCCCTTTCTGACGTGTCCCCTAAAATTCGATGAAATCCGGTCAGCACTTTTTGAGCTAGGCTGCTAACAAACAAACTAACCAACAAACCAACGCCACCAAAAACATAACCTCCTTGGCGGAGGTAATAATAATAATAATGATAATAATAATAATAACAATAATGATAATAACAGCAATAATAATAACAATGATAATAATAATACAGAAATAATGATAATAATAATAATGATAATAATAATAATAATAGTAATAATAATAATGATAATAACAATACAGAAATAATGATAATAATAATAATAATAGTACAGAAAGGATTAGAATAATAATAACAATACAGAAATACTGATACTAATAGCAACAATGACAAGAAAAAATCACAACACCTAACAATCACAAAGATACAAGAAAAAAAAAATGAAAATAACATCCTCTCGCTCACCGTCCATGGCCTTGAGCAGCCTCGGGTGCAGCTCCGTGTGGAAGACCTCCTTCGGGGAAATTCTGGAGCACTCGTCGCCGCCTTCGTCCACGTCGTCGTCGTTCCCAAGGACGGGCTCGAGGGCGTCCTGGCGTGGGCGTGGGGGGAGGAAGGTGGGTGAGGGAGGGGTTCTTGGTTATTATTGTTTTTTGTTTTTTTTGGTGGGGAGTTTGGTGATGAGGAAGGGAGTGGGAGAGGGAGAGAGGGTGGGAGAGATAGAGGGAGAGAGAGAGGAGAGAGAGAGAGAGAGAGAGAGAAGAGAGAGAAGAGAGAGAGAGGAGAGGAGAGAGGAGAGAGAGAGAGAGAGAGAGAGAGAGAGAGAAGAGAGAGAGAGAGAGAGAGAGAGAGAGAGAGAAAGAGAGGAGGGAGGGAGAGGAAGAGAAGGAGTGGGAAGAAGGGTTGGAGGGATGGAAAGAGAGAGAGAAGGAGAAGAAGGGAGAGAGTGGAAGAGAGTGGGTTTTCAAAGGTGTTTTCCTATTTATTTCTGTGTATTTTGTCTGTCTGCTTAACTGTCTTTCATGTTTTCTTTCCTCTTCTCTCTCTCTCGTTGCCTTTTTTTTCTTCTTGTTTCTCCGCCTATCTCTCTTTCTCTCAGCTCCCTCTCTTCATCGCTCTTTATCTCGCCTATCTCTTTGCTCATCCATTCATCCCCGTCTTCCATTCCCTCCGTTATCACTCATGTCCTTCCTTTCTCTTTCTCTATCACTATCGCATGAGAAATAATCAACCAAAAATGGATAAAACGAAATAAAAATAAATTGATTCGTGTTCATCATTCCTCACTATCTATCATTAATGCACAGAAAATAGATAGAAATAGATGGAAATTAGATAGGAAATAGATATAAAATAGATATAAAATAGATAGAAAATAGAAATAGAAAATAGATAGAAAACATAGAAAATAAACCACTAAACCACCACTTGGACTACTTTTCGGATAAGCAAATTAATAGATAAATAGACAGATAGATAAGCATATAGATAAATGAAAATATGAAATAGATAAATAGGTAAAAGATAAATAGATAAAATAGACAGAGATGAATAAATAAATGAAGAGATAAGTAAGTAAGTAAAGCGATGAATAAATAAGTAAATACTAGGTAAAGAGATAAATGAATAAATAAAGAGATAAACGACTAAATAAATAAAGAGATGAATAAACAAACAAGGCGATAAATCCATAAACAGACAAATAAACGAACAAAGGAAGAAGGAAGGAGAAGGAAACAAATCAAGAGAGCAAACAACGAAGCCAAACTCTCTGGCTCCTCCTCACCTCCTCCTCGAGCTCCTCAGCCAGGACCTCCGCTAGCTCCTCCTCCTCCGCCAGCTGCTCCTCCTCCAGGCCACCAACTCCACTATTCTCCTCCTGAAGAGCCAAGGCGGCGCTGACCCACAGAGCAAGGGCGAGGGTTAAGATCTGCGAGGGGGGGGGGGGCGTCGTTAATGTTTGCTGCTTTTCAACTCGGTTGTTGTGCCAAGAATCAAGGGGCATAATGATGGTAGTGATGGTGGTGTTGATGATAACAGCTGATGGCAATGGAGGTGCTGATGATGATGATGGTGATGATACTACCATTAATGATGGCGATACTACTAATAAAGATGATAATGAAAATGGTATGTGCAGTCTTGATGATGATGCTATTACTACTACTGCTACTAAAGATAATAAAAAACTCATAGTGTGGTACCTTCATCTTCCGTGTCTCAGCGCCTGTTAGACCCTCCGCTCCACGTGAAAGTGTGCACCACAGAACGGACTGGAATCATTCAACAGAGTGAATTACCGAGTCTTTGGCCGCGCGCTGGCACCATCGTGGGAAGGGCGCCACCCGGTGCAAGCAGGTCTGCCTCTTGGCTGAGATAATGCGTCAGATAAGGTCCGAGCGCCGGGTGGGGCATGGCGTAGACGACCCCCAGGGCAAGGACTATATAAGTACTTCTATAGACCTTACCTCAGAGTGGAAGGCTGTGGAATACGAACGGGGTAGAGGGCAGTTGTTCCTGCGGCCGCTTCCTCTCTAGACGTCGGCTGGGCTTTTGTTGAGATGAGTATTTTTTTTTTTTTTTTTTTTAGTCTGAATATGTCCATTGATGTAAATGCTTCTAGAACCTTCTAGACTACGAAAGCCAGCTATACCCCTTTCCTTCATCGTCACTTTCGTAAGTATTTTTTAATAAAGCTAATTGAATGCAATAAAATTACCTTCGAAATCCAAAAATCTAAGTATGTATCTTTTTAATCACAAATTACTAAGTAATTATTAAGTCACAGGTGAATCTATAAATACTCTCCCCTTTGAAGTATTTACCCATACTTTGTTGATTTCTAGACAGGTTAAAGTGGAAAGGGCATGGCTGTCAATCCAGTAATACCTTCTGCTCATCCAGCACCATGACGTAGCGATGATATAATAATGACGGAGTCGGTTGGGTATGACGTCAGGCCGGTAGGCGATGACGTCCGAGTCGGTAGATGATAGATACCAGAAATGACAGGGTAATTGTTTATATGATGTCATATGCAGATCTATAAAATATATTGTTTAAATTTCTTGATTTTAATACAGACGAAACTTCCATTAGCCTCTGTAGTGAAAAGTTATTTTCTGAAGGTTGCTAATTACATGAAACGCTTATTGAACGGAAATAACATAATATTTTGAGTTTACTTCAGAGGAATTTGATATGACCGAAATATTCATGAAAACAGATATCTTCATAGCAGTTCTTCACTCACAAAATCCTTGAGTATAGCTTGCACATACATTTTGACAAGTCTGTAGGCAAACAAAACAAAAAAATTAGTTTACTAAATGCTCCCACAAAAAAAACTTTCTAATTAGCATTCATTTCCGACGGCCTAAAGTTGTCTATAGGAAGGTACTTCCTGATTCTCTTTACAACACAATTTGATGCACTGTTGCCAAACGTTAAGCTCCACCCTATTCCTAAAAATCTACAGCAGTTTACAGTTTGTTCTTTTTTTCTACATCATTTAACATTACTTTGGGCTTCTACATAATACAAAATCGCAACTAATATGAAATGCAAGTTTAGATCTTTTAAGTGTCATTATAACTATGACTTGTATGAAAATAAGAAAAATAGTGACATTTTGTAAGCAACCACCCAAACAACAGTTCTTTCCGACTTTTGAATTTGAATTTCTCGCCATTACTGCTCTATACGAATCCTGTCTACATTATGACATAACTTTACTCTTCTGTACTAACTTCTACATGGCTTATAACTATTTCCATGCTTGTTCATTCATTTTGGCACAGAGCGGTTTGAATACGCCTTCACACCCCAAGCATAGCCCCGCCCCCTCGATTCCTGCCGTAAAAATAGTGCTGACGCTGGAAATGAGGGCTTTGAAAACAACAGTGTGACATTTCTAGGCCAATTGCGACTCGACCAATCTAAGCCTATCAGAGCGGACCCAGTACCCACGAGTAGATTCTCGAGAACATTGACACTCATCACCAAAAAACAAACAAACATATATTAGATGAAATAAATGTTGACAGCTGTAATTACCATGCAAGGGATGATTTTTTAAAATTATCAAACACGTTTTTTTCCATTAAAAAAAATATAATTTCTCCTCATTGAAGATATGGCAGATGCGACCAAAGTCGGCTTGGCATTCGAGACTCCAGGCTTCCGCGCAAAACTTCTTAACGTATATTATGTAACTTGCCTGAAAGATCTGAAATAGCTGTCTTGCCAGAATACCTGTTTTGGAAGATTACTAGCCATTAGTGGAGGCTTTGGCGGTCGCTTGACAACGCACTACCAAGTTTTTTTTTTGGTCAGTAAAAGACACAAAGAATTGTTATTTACTTGATTTTAACATAATTTATCATTCTAATCAACATGTTTATACTTAATAATTTCCAAAATAAACCCCAGGGTCTTTCTAGGTATTCTAGCCTATCTATAATTGTAAAGTCCGAAGGTTTGGAATTACTAACATTAGCCTTGTATTGTTATAAATTTACAAAAGATTTAAAGATATATACTTTGTTTTTAGAAATGACAGCTGCTGTAGATGAGCTGGACTGTATGGGAGCTCCTGGAGATCTTGCTGCAGGCCAACATAACATACCAAGTACATGCATCACTGACGGGATATGTATATGTGTGTGTGTGTACACACACACACACACACACACACACACACACACACACACACACACACACACACACACACACATATATATATATATATATATATATATATATATATATATATATATATATATTTATATATATATATATATATATATATATATATATTTATTTATTTATATATATATATATATATGTCAAGACAGTCTGCTATAATAAAAGAATGATGAATGGTTTGATTGTCAAATCTGCAGTCTCTTTTCAGGATCACCTGGACCACCTACGTTCAGGTCTGGACAACACTTCGATGGAAGGCCACTGGCAGCCTCCAGTTAACCATTACTGACAATCTGATGTGTCACAACAACTTGAGCAATAAACGATGAAAAATAGTACTGTTTCCTTTATTACACCAACACAGTTCTTCACTGCAATTACATTTGCAACTCATTGAAATATGTCTATAGGATATGGATGCCCCTGTGATGGCCTTTTTGAAGATGTATAGATATGATGATGGTGTAAACCTATGTATAAAATATCTGATAATAATCATTATTTATATCAGTTAAGACTTCAACCATTCATACAAAACTGAACAAAGACAGAACTAATACAAACTCTGGAACTTTACCTAACACCTAGTGTTAGACTGAAACATATATCACATAAAAAGACCCTGGGACATACTGTGTGAATAACCCTGGTGCTAGTGAACAAGATTAATAAGTCAGAGTCACCTCCTTCAGTTTTCCCAAAAACATCTTTTCGCCCTCGACTATAGCCTCCAATCTGCCTCCAACTTCTATTTTCTATACTTTATTTGACTTTCTAAATCAATTTGATGTATGTGATATTGTTCAGATTTGAATTTGAGCGACAGTGTAAACAAATTCAAATTTCCCGCGTCGTTCAAAGCTAGCGATAAAAAATCTAGAGAGATATGGGCTATGAGGATGGCGTTCCGAAAGTGTTTCATGGGAAACTCGGCTTACTTTCGTTGACGCCAGGCGAAGTATCGTTAGACGAAACTTTAATAGTAAGACCCTAAGGAAAGCCGCAACTCCGTCCCGGGAGTTCCGAAATCGCCCCCTGGAATCGGACAGCAAGAGTTTGACGACTCTTTATTTATTAATTATTTTTTATTTACATTTTCCATAAATTAAACCGAGAGAACTATACATGCATCGTCGGAATAATGTACGCCAGAGATGTGTGGTATTAAAAGGACGCGCTAAAACCCTGACCGCTGACCAAGCCTGGGTCATTTTAGGTTTCATCTTCCCTTTTGTTTTTTATGTGTCAGTGAAATCTATAGGGCCTAATAAACGATTTGCAGATACGGTGATCTTTGCACATAAATACGCGATCAGCGTTTACTGGAAATGCACCGACTGACAGATCACCCTGAAATGCTTTAATCACTGCATTGTATTTTCAAGTAAATTATGTACCTATTTACTCGGTGAAATAAAACAATCTGAATTTGAATTTGCGTTTGCACTGTGTCAGTCTGTCCGTGTGATTATGAAATGGTACTAGTATAATAGCCGGGGATTTTAAGTGAATAAATGTCCAAAAACAGCTAAAATTATTAATTAGGTCCTATAGATTCCTTTTAATATTTGGTTAAGTTTCACAAAAGAGAAGATGTAACTTAAAATGATCCAAGTGTTGTCAGCGGTCAGTGACCAAATTAAAAATCATGGTAATCAAGTAAATATACGTGACTTTTTTTTTTTTTTTGAGGAAGAGATTGTACCAAGATGGCAATGTTGGCAGGAAGCGAGTCAGGAGACACCAATACTTTATATCTATTTCTTGGGGTATTTTGTTTTATTACACGCAGTAAGGATTTTCACCAGGAGACAGAAGAAACAAATGGAGAGGAAGTCGTGGAAACACAAACACTGATATATTCATATATGTGTCTCAGTGTGTGTGTCTGATTGCGTATGTGTGTTGTGTGTGAGCGAAGGTCAAGAGAGAGAGAGAGAGAGAGAGAGAGAGAGAGAGAGAGAGAGAGAGAGAGAGAGAGAGAGAGATAGAGATAGAGATAGAGATAGATAGATAGATAGATAGAGAGAGAGAGAGAGAGATAGAGAGAGAGAGAGAGAGAGAGAGAGAGAGAGAGAGAGAGAGGAGTGAGAGAGAATGAGAGAGAGAGAGAGAGAGGAGTGAGAGAGAATGAGAGAGAGAGAGAGAGAGAGAGAGAGAGAGAGAGAGAGAGAGAGAGAGAGAGAGAGAGAGAGAGAGAGAGAGAGAGAGAGAGAGAGAGACAGACAGGCAGAGAGAGAGAGGAGTGAGAGAGAATGAGAGAGAATGAGAGAGAATGAGAGAGAATGAGAGAGAGAGAGAGAGAGAGAGAGAGAGAGAGAGAGAGAGAGAGAGAGAGAGAGAGAGAGAGAGAGAGAGAGAGAGAGAGAGAGAGAGAGAGGAGTGAGAGAGAATGAGAGAGAATGAGAGAGAATGAGAGAGAGAGAGAGAGAGAGAGAGAGAGAGAGAGAGAGAGAGAGAGAGAGAGAGAGAGAGAGAGAGAGAGAGAGAGAGAGAGAGAGAGAGAGAAGAGAGGAGTGAGAGAGGAGTGAGAGAGAATGAGAGAGAGAGAGAGAGAGAGAGAGAGAGAGAGAGAGAGAGAGAGAGAGAGAGAGAGAGAGAGAGAGAGAGAGAGAGAGAGAGAGAGAGGAGTGAGAGAGAATGAGAGAGAGAGAAGAGAGAGAGAGAGAGAGAGAGAGAGAGAGAGAGAGAGAGAGAGAGAGAGAGAGAGAGAGAGAGAGAGAGAGAGAGAGAGAGAGAGAGAGAGGAGTGAGAGAGAATGAGAGAGAGAGAGAGAGAGAAAGAGAGAGAGAGAGAGAGAGGAGTGAGAGAGAATGAGAGAGAGAGAGAGAGAGAGAGAGAGAGAGAGAGAGAGAGAGAGAGAGAGAGAGAGAGAGAGAGAGAGAGAGAGAGAGAGAGAGAGAGACAGACAGAGAGACAGAGAGAGACAGAGAGACAGAGAGACAGAGAGAGAGAAGAGTGAGAGAGAATGAGAGAGAATGAGAGAGAGAGAGAGAGAGAGAGAGAGAGAGAGAGAGAGAGAGAGAGAGAGAGAGAGAGAGAGAGAGAGAGAGAGAGAGAGAGAGAGGAGTGAGAGAGAATGAGAGAGAATTAGAGAGAGAGAGAGAGAGAGAGAGAGGTGGGGGGGTGAGGAAAGGAGAGGGGAGAGACCGCAGGGCGGAGGAGAGCGAAAGGCGTGAGGAAGAGGACGTAGAGGAGGAGGAGAAAGAGAGTCTTGTCGATTT